CGCGTGATAATTTACGTTTCACTAATCCCGCATGGTTCCTAACAGAAGTATTAGCTTGGCCCGTTGTTTCATGAGTAAAAGTGTCGCTAGTCATCGAAGATTCACGTACGCCGTTACAAGGCGCAGGCGGATGAGGCTTACGATCAGCTGAAGACATTCCAGAAGGGAAGGCGAGGAAGTATTTTGGGTCTACCCTATCTAAGTGAATACTTAGGACAGCACTTCTAACGAAGTCTTCTCGTTCCTCATAATCTGAGGCTAAAGGCGGCTATCTTTTATAAAGTTCAATAGAAATTCGGCAGATAAAGCCGTGTCGCTAATTAGCTCCCTTTTTCTATTCTAGAACGACCGATTTAATTATCATAGTGCCATCTGACCGCTTTCTAGATATAGAGATATTAGTACCGTGATCGTCCTAGAGGACTTTAGGGGAGAAGGTAAGGAAGAATTTTGGGTCTTCTCCTTTCAGCGGGACGACCACAGCACCTCGTCCGAAGAGGATATCGTCTTACTTATAAATCTCTAGGTTATAAGGTATATCTGGCGAAAAGAAGTCTGTCCGGATGATCACTCGGTTAACTAAAAATTCTATTAGCTATATAGCCCCCTTCTAGAATTCGGGAATATAGAATCGTATAGTTACACGGCCTTCTTCACTTCGTCCTTATAGCTATTTAGAGCTATTTAAGTTATTTAGAAGCGTGTTTTCTATAAAATCAAAGTCTTAGCGACCGGATTGAATGTGTATAGCACGGAATCACTCACGAGGGGACTAAATTATATTATAAAAAGCTTTAGCTTATAGATAATCGACATTCCGGTAGTGCTCTAGATGATCGTAGATCGCGGCTAGTTCATCGCTGATAGTAGTAGAAACGGAAGGACCCTAAGTCGAGGCCGTTTTGCTTAAGCACTTAACTTGATTTATATTAACCGCTGTTTTATGAGATATTCCGTATTTTGTTGCTACTATATTATAGGAGTTATAGGAAAGGCCTTTCCCGAAGGAGGTATTAGTTTAAATTAATATTTCGTGTGGAATAGCGTTCCGGATTATCGAAGAAGTATTAGCTACACTATGAGCCTCCTTAGATTCCTCGGTCTTAGAAGCTTTGTGTTACGCTAGGCTTTACTCGCTTCCTAATGATATTTAGTGTAATAATTATAAAGAGTTGTTAGCTAAGCGTACCTCGGTGGTCACTTGTAACGCTCTCTCTTTTTATAGCCCTAAAATAGGAATATTCTCGCGACTCATTAAATGAATTCTTAGTAATTTTCAAAGATTTATAATCCGACTGAAAATAGTTAGGGGTTGTCAGCATGTGCATGTGTGTGTATGTGGCTATGTGAAGTTGGTTGACCAGCGGCCCGCCGGCTAACGGCCCGGACCGGACCATCGTTTTTCCTGCAGAAGGACCCCTCTGCATATACCTCTTTAACAGAGAGTTCTACCATGACGAATCGGCCAATCTAGGCTATGGATTCTAACATCCAGCTCCTTCCTAATCTATCAATTGGTCAGATCATCGATACATGATCGAATCATCGATTAGATCATTGATTTGGTCTATTTCCTGCTGCCTAAACTGCCCCAATCGTGTACTTAAACACCCGTTCGCTCGCTAGTTTAGCAGTTCAGATTTAATGCACTTTTCAATCTATCTTATTGATCTCGTTTGACCGTCATACCTAGAGAAGATCTTATGAATTCGAGGTCCATCCGTCTTATCTTGGTCCTATTCGCGAGAAGAACTTCTATCTTGACTGGTCATCCTAACGTCCTATGTGGATCCTTCTCGTTCGGATACACTTGGATTGCGACAGGGGTTGACTGCTTAAATAACTGAAGGCCTTTTAGATCCTTATAGACTAGCGACCTAGTTAGTATAGATGACGAATCTATAGCTACTCCTTTATTTATAGGGATGGCGAGGCTTCCACCGGTTAACGTGCCCTAGAATTCCGGGGTATCCATAATCTCAGTGTCGGTATCGGAACTAAGCTAGTCTAGCTCATCGCGGCACTAATCCTCGTTAATATAGATCACGATGGGATTAGAAGGTGAACCTAATAGAGCAGGATCATCGATCACTATGGGATTGGCCTACGTGCCCGGCTTAGGAGTAACGATAGAGTCGCGTACGACCACTTCAGGCTATTCACACGGCTAAGTGGGGATTGGGGCTTCGCTATATTAAATTAGCGAAATTAGTTATGCTTATAGAAGATCTCTTACCGAAGGGTTCGTGCTTATTTTCTGTAAAATAGGTTATATTAACTTAGACTAGTAAAAGAGACAGAATCAAAGAGAGATCGGATATTGTAGAGAAAACCGAGCACTTAGCTAAAATAGATAGGCGAACTTAGATCCTGGACTACTTCATCACGAAGACGGCGTGCGAGATATATAGCTTTATACCTATCGTTAGATAAATCAGACCTAGTTTAACCTATAAGGTAGGCACGCCAGAGTCAGTTTCAAGCTCAGAGAGTAGGAGCTCTGGTAAGGCAGTATCTAGACGAGATCTATCTACTAATCGATTCTGTGACTGATGTACTGTATAGGGTACTACTGCAGGAATGACTCACCCGTTGATCTATTTAATCTAATAGCCATATTGCACAGTGCTGTTGCTATTCCTAGGGAACCATATATCTACGCATCACCTACGTCCGGTTATCACCACCTAGCCTATAGAGCCCTATTTACTAGTCGTTATGTGCTCTAGGACTAAAGGCAAAATATACAGGACGCACTATATAATAATGATAGCTTCCTTATCACCTCTAATCCGAAAGGCGCTTATACCGCATAAGTAAGCCCCTATTCTCCTATCCGTCTATCTCGTCCTCTCCGCTAATCGATAAAGCTAACGGGGCTCCGACGATAAGGCGTAATTATTAATAGGGGCCGAGGCGGGCCTAGCGAACGATAGTAGGAAAGCCTCCGTAGGTCGACAGGATTCGATATTTATACGTAGGCTGAAGAGTTCGCCTAGCGAGCTCTTTAGGCTTAAGAGATCATTCCTAAGTCACGATATACCCGCCGTGAGGCTATACGATTAATATAAAAGGACAGTCACTATCTCCTTAACTATCGCGGACTTAGGAACCCACTAGCTCACGTATAATAGCCGCCGAGACACTCTACTTATTCGCGCTAGCCACTTCGATCTAGGTGTTTCCCGGCTCGGGCATAATACGGACGCCACCAGCTAAGCCGCTAACGCCTTCACCGTCGACTTACGCCCCTAAGGCAGAGTTAACGCCCCCGCTCTATATAGGCGACGCTCCAGAAGGGGCGAGGTGCGAATGCACCTCGACGCGCGCAGGCTCTACGATTAGCCGACTAATTAATATACGAGATGGCGATCGGGGGGCCCAAAAAACCTTATCTAAGCATCATGACGGGCGAGCCGAGCGGGAACCGGTCACGGGAAACTCCGCAGATCTTCGTTCGAGGACTCAAAAGATGGTCACGGACTGGCCGGTTCGCACCGGCGACCAGGGGGGCCGGCGGAGCTCGGTGATCCGGATCAATGGCAAAAATGCCTCGCTAGCCGGGCCTGCGCGGGAAACGGGGAGAAAGAAGGAGCAGGAAAGGTGAAAAAACGGTGAAACGTTGAGGCGGCGATGAAGGGGACTTTATAGAAACACGCACCCGCATGGGAGGTCACCAAGCAACGCTAAACCCAAACAGGCACGCTATACCGCATGGCGTAATTCATAGGCAGCACCGGATACGTGATAACCAACTACACCATCCGGCCGGTTGTTGTATGTGGACACCTCATTTTGCTCTTATGAACAAAAATTGATTTCCTCTTACAAACATTCTTTTCCTCGTCATTCCTCCATAGAGAATTCATCTTGAATGATCGATCTAACCTTGGTAGCCTTGGCCATGAGAACCTAAATGGCTTGTCTAAGACCGGGGGCAAAAAATTGGATTGATAACGCACGACTATAGTTGGCTTTGTTCTCTAGGTGAACCCACCACATCGGTGTAACGATATTCTCCGAATAACCCTTACACACATGTGGAGTTCTCAAAGCGGTTTAGCGTGTCTATCTACACCTGCGCTTAACTGGCTGTCAACAATTATCGATGTTCCACAACAGAATATCGCGATACCCACTGTATCGATGACCCTGTAAAACTCAAAACTCCTACCTAGATGTTTTCACTCAGAAAAAAATAATTGAGCGTCAAAACTGACATCATCTCATTTGAATATCCTCACATGGTCCTCTACTGTCTCGCTAGCACTTTCTGAAAAGATCTTATGACTCGCACGACAGAGTAAGCCTCAATCAGTTGAACTCAATACTGTAGCCTGAATCTACGGGGTAACTACCGCACCACAGGTTTAGCTTGACACGCTTGAACTTTCTCTATTAAGAATATTCGTTTGTTCAAATTTTTTTGAAATGTCCCACCACTTAGCTCTACCTAAATCTTAGCTCTGATTAATCCCACTTTCTGCTTGTCATCTAAACCGTAGAAATTCATATGGGATCTAAGTTTAGTCGGGGTGAGTTAGTCATTCACTCAAATAAAGTCCTACAATCGTAGCATGAATGATCTTGATTGTTGATATTGTTTTTTTTGTGAGTGATTACATTCTTCTTTGGACATTTGCCGTTCCCAGAAAGGTGAAAGACCTAGACTAGAAAATATATATCTACGTCCTTGTTGCTGGTTCAACGACACGCCAACTTGCATGATAAACCTGGCCTTATTAGGATGGTTTCTGTTCTACCATCTGTAATTTCTGACTCAAACGAGGAAAATAATGTCATTGGTCCACCCCCAAAATATAGCCAAGCGGCGGTTTTAGAGATATTCGAGGTGACGATCAAAAAACCTCGAGAGAAAGTCATTAAGCGGTAGTCAAAGCGTGCCTAGCTCGAATTGGAATGAGTTTTTATTGTCGTACCGCTGACCTTAATTGTCGTGCTGGTGACCGGATCCTATGTTTACCGGAGACGAAATAATGTGACGATTTTTGCAAATGCAAATGTTTGAAAAATGAAATTTTGTGCTATGATTGACATGGTATTAAATGCAAAGTGATATCATCCTACTCTATAAGAAAACATTATGACAGAAAAAGCAATCAAGCCTCAAAGCGACCGTCTTATCCCATTTGGAGACAGGTCCGCTTAAGCGGCGAAGTGAGGGGCATTAATGAAAAGTCCCATCAAACATCCACCAATGGTGCCAGCGATGGGGATGGTCATGATCCAGGCGAGCAGCAGGAGGCCGACACGCTGGAAGTTGACAGCCTTCAGTGTACCGTTGCAGAGACCGACGCCGACGGTGGCACCAGTGATACACATGGAGGTGGAGACGGGGAGGGAGTACTGGGAGAAGACGAGGACGGTGAGGGCAGCACCCATCTCCATGGAGGAACCACGGCTGGGAGAGTGGTAGGTGATCTTGTTACCCATGACTATTGACAGAAGAATGATTAGTATTGCGTCTCATATTTTTGGCAGGAGCGATGTTTGGCCTACCCTTCATGATGTTGTAACCGTAGGTGACCAGACCGGCGGAAATGCACAGGGCGAGAACGGCAAGCTGCCAGACCGGGACGGGGGCCTTAGCGGCGGCTGGGCTTCCAGTAGACCAGGCCGCGTAGATGGCAGCCCAGGGACCGACGGAGTTACCAATATCGTTGGCACCGTGGGCGAAGGAGGCAGTGCAAGCGGTGATAATCTGGATGAAAGAGTACGTGTGCTCGACCTCGTTGGGGTACTTCTCCGCGGCATCGTAGACACGCTTCATGCGCTCACCCTCGGGAGTACCGGCAATACCGCTCTGGGCACCGTGGATATCGTAGTGAGCACCGTACAGGAGACCGACGGTGATGATGGCAGGGATACGCTTGATCAGGGACACAATGTTGCGCCACTCATAGATCTCACCAGCGCCAATGGGGTTGTCACGGAGGAAGCGCATAGCCCAGCCCAGGGGACCACGGCTCTTCAGGAGCTTCTCACGGTGACGGGCCTCGGATTGGGCCATGATCTCCCTGTAGGTCAGCTGGGTGGTCTCAGCCTTGACTAGTCTGTGCTCATTGGCCTCGGCGGGGGTGCTAGCGGTGCGAGGGAGCTTCTCCTCATCGATGGAGCCCTGGGTGGTGGAAGCCTCGTCCTCGTAGTCATCCTGAACAACGGCGTAGTTGGGGACCACGGCGATCTCGGCGGCATCGGTAGGAGCAGGGCGCTTGAAGAGAAGGGGACCATAGAAGATCATCCACCATTTGAGGGTGTGATCCTTCTTGATGACACGGGCGTGGACGTAAGGAACGAAGAACAGGGCGGACAGGAGACAGAGAGCAGCACCCGAACCCACAGTCACACCGGCGATCCAGTAGCCGGGCTTCTTGCTCAGACCGAGGTTAGGAGAACCCTTGTAGACAATGGAGAGGACACAGATAGTGCCAGCAACCAGGAACCACAGGGGGGAGCTGTAAACCGACCAAGGGACGGGGTTACGGCGCATGTGAACAATGAACTTGATCAGGAGGAAGATGATGGAAGCGAAGCAACCCGAGATAACCGGAGCCATTCCAAGACCGGCGAAGATAGCACCCATACCCTTGCCATTGTTCCAGCCCCATTGGACCTTGGAAGCACCAACAGTCGCGACACCGACACCAGCAACAGCCGAGATAAGCGAGTAAGTCGAGGAGACGTGAGCGGAGTGACGGGTGCACCACATCACCCAAGACGAGGCAGCGGCCAGAGCGCAGGTGAAAGCCAGCATCTGCACACCAGCATTGCCCTTGAAGGCCGAGATAGGGATGATACCGTTCTTGATAGTATCAGCGGTTCGGGAACCGACCGTGACGGCACCGAGGAACTCGAAGATGGTGCCGAGAACCATGGCCTGGCGGTAGGAGATGGACCGGGAGGACACACTGGTAGCCCAGGAGTTGGCTACATCATCTGAAGAGGAGAAGTACGCGTATCAGCACTGTAATCAAGAGAGATAGGGAGAGAGCAATTGCAGAGCAGATGGTGAATGGTGTACTTACTGGCACCGTTGTTGTAGGCATCCAGCATGGCAAACACTGTGCCGATACCAAAGATATAATCATACTGATGGAGATACATCTTGAATCACTTGACGGGCGAGCAATGGCCAAGTCAGAGGATCGACGGTGGATGGGCGGTACAGTACGAACTTTTTGACATTGAAGCGAAACGACTTGGGCTTTATATGTACCTTATGCTTGCCATACGATGTCTCTGCATGGGATGGCCCCAATTTCCCAGCTTCTGGGTCTCGCACATGGCACGCGCCTAGTAGGCTTTCTGGGCGAGAACCACGCCCCGGGCGTGGCAACAGGCGAATTGCAGCCTGTCTGAAGGCCGTTTCCGGGCCATTTTCAAGAGCATTCTGCCACACGTGCGAGAGCGACTCGCGATATTGGCATCGCAGCCATCGTTTACAAGGTGCTTGGCAATTGTCTAGGCTTATCGTCAGACCCATGGTGGCTGCGAATCAGTGCTCGGTACCGGGGCATAATCACGCAACGCGAAGCCAGTCAGGAGAGAGGGCACTCATATTCAGTGAGCTAGGATTCAAACCGAAGCAAAGTCGGCGAACTTGGCGGCCCTTGGCAAAGCTGGGCGGAGGTGGATTCTTATAGAATTAATACTGCAAAGTGATCTTGCTGAGACCCACAATGGGCTTGGCGGGGTTCCGGGCGGAGGCGCCACACGGACCACCGCTTCCTATAAGACTGGCCCATTCACCCCACGTGCCCCTAGGAGAGGTCCTCGTCTCTTCACCACCTTTGGACCTTCTCGGAAACAACTCTGTCTCCCTGCGTGTCAACCAATGCCCATTAACCCTCATCACAGCTAACTACAGTGAACCACAGTGAACCCATCGAGGCGTTCTAGAAGTCAACCCCCCCCCCCGCCCCAGGTAGTATTCTTTGGTTTTCGTGTTCTTGGCGTGTCTGACTGATCTGGTTACCGTTCGCACGTGGGAAGCTGCCTCGATGAGAAGGAAACGCAAGCAATTCGGGGCGAGCTGGAACCGAATCCCATAGCGAACTCCCGTTTTCGGGCAATGGCTTCAAACAGCAACAAGTCCATACGAGATCTCCCGGGCGTCGACCCGATCCCGATTTCTCCAGTGACCCCCTGAGTCAATGAGGTTTAACGGGCCATCGATGTATGATGCATGACAGATACTAGGATACGCAGGAGCCAGTGCCTCGAGACCAGTGACATGCCTCGCCTTCGACACTAGCAGCTGGCAGGAGCGGCAAGCTCGCGTGCCCCCGGACGGAGGTTGGTTGTCTCGCTAGACTCGTTTCTCTCTAGCATGCGCCCACTCGGTTGTCTCAAACCGGTCGGCAACGTTGCAGGGCACCGATGGTTACAATGATGGTTCCTTCGATGATCCTTCCATTGATCTAGTGCTCACGAAATGCCTTTGTCCCCAACCTATCGGGATGCATGGCACGACCGAATGTCTGAAGCTGTGAACAATAATCATGCTAGGCAGCTAGCCATTACACCACCGAAGGGAATTGCATCCGAGTCGCTCGAGTAAGCGCTCAATAGCTCCGATATCTCGGCCAACTAATCTCTCCTAGCTGAACCTTCGGCGAACACCGACAAAGTACTTTGCCGAGCATCGAGAATAATGCGTGGTTGAAAAAGCGAGGTTGATTGGACCTGGATGAAAATGAAATCTATCATCCATTATCAATCAAATTTCTCCCTCCGCTCTCAGTAACTTGCCACGCGGTGCCACCACCGAAAATGGACGCACGCGCAAGTGGGCCATGGGCCACACGCGCTCGCAAACCTGCCCATCTCCGTCTCCCCGAGGATCCATCTAACAGCAGCGTGTCCGGTTAAAAACTGGGGCGGCCCGGGATCTAGACGATCGTCATGGTTGGAGCGTTTCAAGGTCGATGGGGGACCTCGCCAAGCGCGATTGTCAGTCCATGCGTCGGGCCACTTTCATCTTTGTGTCCAGCTCTCTATTGGGATCATCCAGTGATACCGTCCTCGAATTGTTCGGTGACAGTCAGCAGAGTCTTCGCTATTCAGTGGGATGAATGTGCGACTAATCCATTGGTCGGTTTCTGGTATTTGATTCAATGGCCAATTTTGTAGCTTTCCTGAACTTTAACGATCATGTTGTCTACTCTGATTCCTGCCAATTGATGATATTTTGATGTGAAAAGGTCTCTCATAGGCTATGTGAAATCTGCTTGTAATTTGTGCGCCCGAGGGCTGCCCTTCCAAACAAGGTTTGCTATGATTCCGCCCAAAATTGATTGACTCGTCAAGGTGGCTCGCTATGTGGGTTTCGTTCTCGTTTCTCATTTCCTGTTTAGTCCGGATTGGTATTGGGAAAATGTGCCAAGAGAAACTCTACCGTTCGCATCAAGTTGCCCTGCAAGTTTTGTTTTTGATCTTTCATTGACCTTTCTTGATCTTGTGAAGACATATAGTCTGCCCCGAATCAAGCTAAATACATAAAGTGACCCGAAAGGCCTGGCGAATTATATTCATGGAATGACATGACTTGCCAGGACTGTACTGTACTTTATTCTCTATGCCCACAATTCTCGCACATCAACTCCCCAGGCCCACTGTGAGATGCCCATAGCTCCCACACTCATGAGGAAAGCCATGAGAATATTCACACCGTTGTTATCAAGCCAGTCACGACCGGTCTCAACCCGTCGGCTCTCATGGCTCTCGTCATGAGGGCGGCCAGCTTGGGCTCCTACAGATGTGCCCGTAACACGGCTTCCTCGTAAGGTAGCCGCGTTGGCAACGGCCTCCGTATTACGAATTTGCGTGCTACTCGAGACCTCGGCAGAGGGGCCGTTGCCAGATGTGCCCGCTGGTTTCGTGGAGCTCGGGTGGATGAGTACCTATTTGATAAAATGAGCAGGGGCGCTTACCATGCAGGAAGCTAATAGTGTTTCTCGGCTTACCTTTCGGCCACCGCTGCCCTCCACGACCTTGCCGCTCCTCTTGTCGACGACACTCGCCTGGAGTAGTCCGCCAAGGACACTGTCCAGAACGCTTCCAAGTAGACCCCAGAAAGTCATCGCAACAGTCCAGAGGGCGCGATCTTGGATCCCGGATTTGCTCGGGCAGAACGGAAGAACGAGGGCGGATGTCAGGGCAACAGTGAATGATCCAAGAAGACCTGCACCGAGACCCGCGGCGGTAACACCGCCATTTGTACCGGGGGGAACTTCGCGGAGGGTGAGGGAGGTGATCAGACGAGGGTTCGATTTGGATAGGATTCCAAGTTCGGAGGAGAAGGTGTCAGCAGCTACAGCGGCGTAGTTTCTAGAGAGAAGAGAAAGATCGGATTAGTGATCGATCACAGGAGGCAATGTAGAGGGACGATGATGCGGGGAGGGGACTTACGCCACGATCCCGACCATAAGGACATCGGCGGGACTCTGGCCGAGAGAGAAACAAGAATCCGGGGAGGAGTTTCTCGATAGCACAACGGCATGTGCAATGCTTAGAACTGTCGCGACGACCGAGTTTGCCAGGACCTGGAGATGGTTGCGGGGACCTTCGCCTCCCTCCGAGCCCGTTGCTGAGAGGGTCTTTTGTGCTTTAATTTCATGCTTGACCTGGCAGAGAACGTGAAGTCAGCCTTATTCCGGTCTTAACACATCATATCAGAGTCCAGATCTTAGCATACCTTTGTGACTTTTGTCCCACCGTAGTAGAAGACCGCGAGGAGCGCAAATGGTGTGGACCACGGGTGGAGGGCGTGGGCGGTCGCCGACGCTCCGGCGACAAAGAGACCCAGCGGTGTGAGCGACTTTCGAGCCCAAGCTCGGTAGACGAGTCCAGCTACCGCGAGTAGGCCAACAACTGGCTTCATCGTGGCGAAAAGGTGGAATGATGGGTGTTGAAGAGAGAGGTAAACACTTTCCAGCGCGCGAGCTGACAGCTGGGGATCGACCGGCGGAGCTTTGGTGGGGCTTGGCGGCCAGTCCAATCATGATACTCTTCAATTGATGGCAATGCGAACATGAAAAGAAGAATAGTAACTCAGAAGAAAAGTGCTATATTGGATTCAATGACTCTTTAATTGGGTTTAAACCGTTATCGATATACTTCTCTTGATCTCTGGCGCTGAAACATATCCGTCGACAGATGGTCTATTTTCCTTTTCTCAGCACAAAAGTCACGTATCCCTGACGAGCATATCTGATGAGATTCGAGAAGAAGCTCGAGAATATGATTCAATTTGATTCAATATGATTCTTGCCAATGAGAATGACTTGGGTGTCCATCATCTCCATGCAAGAATTTATCACTATCTTGTTAGTCTATACGTACACTATCCACAAAACTTTAAGAAACAAGCACAAATTCATAGATGAAACGCACTATTCTGCTCATAAACCTCGCAAAACCGCCACAGCCCAGCCTGAAACGCAGCATCTCTAACAGTATTCAGTTCATCATCACGTATAGCACGATTAATCTCCGAGTACCGAACCTCCTCCTTCGGCGCGCCCCCTTCTTCATCTCCCAAACGAGCCCTCCTCGTTACTCGCCTCTTCTTCCCGACATGCGCATCGGGATGATATTGCTCCATGATATGCACGTAAAGGTCCCGGGAGACATTCTCAGCGAGCCAGCGCATAATCTCCCGTCCTTCATTTTCTTTACCCGGCATAACCAGGTGTCGCAAGAGTACACCCCTCTTGGCAATACCGTCTGATGTAAATGACAGATCACCGACTTGCCGGTGCATCTCTTTGATACTTTCCATTGCCGTGGCGGCGTAATTGTCTGCCTTTAGGAGTCGTGTCGATGTCTCATTGCGCCAGACTTTAAAATCGGGGAGGTATATGTCGACGAGGCCGTCGAGAAGTTTGAGCGAGTCCAACGAGTCGAATGACGATGTGTTGTAGATTATTGGAATGCGGAGGCCCATGTCCCTTGCGGCCAAGATAGAAAGGACAACCTGTGGGACGACGTGTTCGGGGGTCACGAGGTTGATGTTATGGACGTTGCCAATCTGTTGAAGCTTGATATACCATTCTGCAAGTTCTTCGGGGGTCAGATCAAAGCCCTTGCGCTGGTGAGCGATATCCTACACAGAGGATTAGCCTCAAAAAACATGTTATAGGAGTCATCACAGCGATGTGACTTACATGATTCTGACAAAACACACAACGAAGATTACAACCCGAGAAAAAGACCGATCCACTACCGTGAAACCCCTGGATACACGGTTCTTCCCCGCGATGCGGCGCAATCACGTTCACTTTAGCTGTCTCCGCTCCAATCATGCACATCCCCGTCGTCTCGTATCTGTTTACCCCGCATTTTCGAGGGCATAGATTGCATTCGCGTAAGTGGGCGTATGCTAGGGATCGTTTTTTCGAGGCATCGACTGAGCTAATAAGGTGGTACCGGGGGGTGTAATCGTCTAGGAGAAATGCTGGGGGAATTCCGATGTAGCGCTTGAGAATGAGAGGGCCGCGTGAGATATGATGATGAGATGTGGAGAGGATGCGATGGGAGTATTTGGTCAAGATGTGCATTTTGTATGTTTCTAGTTTGCCATCCGTGTACTGGCTCGCTGTATCACCCGTTCTTCAGAAAGTGTGAGTAGTCCTGGAAAGAGAGTCGATTGGAAGGGAGATTGCTGTTGATATCGCTTATCTCATCGGTCACGTCATAGCCTTATAGCTGTGGAGCGCCGATCATGTGGAGGAAGGCATTATATTGCAAGGGCTATTGATACAGATTCTACGCCATTTGGTCTCTGAAAGCGCCAGTGAAATGCGATGTCATGATCTCCGTGTATCATTTTTGATTCCTGGCAAACTCCATCCAGGCTTTTGGATTCCAAGCACATTACACAAGGTGATATTGCGTAGACGGCAGACATTATGGATAAGACAGTGAATAAGATAAATCAACAAATATCAAGCTGCTCTTCAAGGGTATTTCGTAGGCATGTACCAGAATATTAATAAGAAGAAAAAAAATCGACAAGAAACATCTGCGCTCCTTTGCGCCTCGCCTCGGGGTATGTTCGGTAAAACAACATATAATACACGAAATACAAGCATCAAATGAAACCAAACTCATGTTTTTGGGCCGACCACATGCTTCGTAGCCTGTCAGAAAGACAGAACTGGAACCCGAATCGATTAAAATGGTGAATGATGTGAAGATGTAGTGATGAACTCGGCCAGCGGTGGGGGAATCGAGAGGTCGAGAGGCTTATAGAGCGAGACCACTGCCATCGCCGCTCCAGCGGTAAAGAGCAAGGACTTCGCGTCGGCGTTGTTGTTGCTCGCCGAAGTCTTCGGGGACTCGTCCTCGTACTTGGGCGAGGGCGGAGCGCATTACCTTTCGGAAAGTTCTCTGGAATGAAGTTAGTACGGCCATGCAGAAAAAAAAGAAGAAATTTGGCAATTTACCTGATATTCTGTGTTCAATGTCACAACGCATGCCTCATGTGCCCGCACGATCGTCTCACAGGCTCTAACAACGCTCGGACTGGCATCGCCCTGCAATTTGTCCGCAGTCAAGAGTAGGAGGAAACTGCCCTGTAATAGGTAGATACCAAAGAAGAATGGCATGAAGCTCAGATCTGGATCATACTCGAGGATGTCTGAGGCTGCTTCGGCAGCGCTGACAGCATGACCCATGGCCGTGATGAAGGAGTCAGATGAGATCCAAAGATCATTGTCATCCAACAAATTGATCGGATCCCACTTGCCAGCCAGGAGAATGTGGAGAACGTGCATGATGTGGGTGCCATATGCGACAACCATCCTTGTGTGGACGATTGACTCGCTGACATGCGACCCGACTGTGCTGCTATTAGATCGACCAGATGGGCTAACATGGTTGATATGTGCGCCTTCCATTGTCGTGTCGTTGTCATTACCCAAAGCCAATGAACTGGTGTAGCGAGCCTCGAAGTCCTTGAGACTTTGCGCATACACATCCAATTGTCGAGTAATCTCCATGGCTTGGCTTTCCCATTCACCGCTGTTTCGGAAATGAAGTCCAAAGCGAGGGTGATTTCGAGCGTGCTGCAAGTCCACGATTTCTCCAAGTATAGACATGAGCGGGAGGAAATAACCAAAGGTGCTGTGGCTAGTGCATTCGAAGGCAGGGCCTGCACGCCGGTACGCGGAGAAATCGCCCGCTTGCCAAAGATCGTCGTTCATCGGTTGTAGTAGACCTTCACATTCCTTGTCTAACAAAGTCAAAGGACGGTTGTAGCAGAGAGCTAGGTGGCGATCCATCACATAAAGAAGCCACCAAATGCGGCGACGTTCTTCACGCTCCTCTTCAGTGAGGTTGACCGAGGAGCTTCCAGGCCCATGTCCCATCGAATTTAAGAGCGACGCCGGTTGCCTCTTGTTCCCATTTAAATCCATTTCGGATTCAGTGTCCATTTCGCCATCTTGACGCGTGTTCACATTAGGTGGTAATTCACGGCCCAACTTCAGCTCGCGTGCGAGGGACCATGCCGCGGTCCACCATCGCATACTCGCCGCTTTGTACTCGCTTGCCGATACCACGGTCGCTAGATGAACATATGTTGCAACGTCATCGACAGCACCGGTCGCGCTACTCTGTGCGCCTAGCTGATCCATTGAAACACCAAACCCTCCCAGCGCGACCCCATTAATAACCATATTCGCCGCATAATTCGGCGAGGCTTCTCCCGTGGCAGGGCCGTGGATGAGAGGTCGCAGTAAACCGATAGTCAGTTCTAATAGCTTCTGACAGACACGCCCTCGTGCTGATGGGGGAGAAGTCAAGAATGCCGCTTCGCTTGTTTGGGCGGCTACCCAGAGCATACTGGCCAGGAGCCCAGGACTGCATACTCTTGGCTTCGTCGGATGGAGGAATGATTGCTTGCGGAACACGAAGCCAACGACATAGGGTGACAATGGTGATAGATGTGACGAAGATGAGCTTGTAAAGTAGACGTCGAGAAGATCGCAAGCGAGGGACTGCGGGATAATGGAGGCGATATGGGGGAGAACTGGTTGCAAGACCGGGTATCTTAATGAACTAGCGAATGGAGCCATACTAAAGGATGGGAAGTTTGCAGGCGATGGCGATGGAAGAGGAAGCCAGCTGGGTGACTGTGCTGGAGGGGAGAATCCCAAGAACGATGCTGACGGGTTTTGCTCAGAGCCACCGAGTCGGAATTGACCGATTGAGTTCGCGTTTGCGTCATGCGAGTTCATTAGAGAGTATGCGCCTTCATGATACCCCGATCCGAATCCTTGAGAGTGAAGCATTGCAGCGGGCGACCGAGGATTTCCATTCTGTTGCATCATTTGCAAAGCGCGCAGGTCAGGCACCGACATCGATTGCCGATTCGAATCCGGTACATTTCCATAATTCAGTGAGATGCCATCGATACCAGATCCAATTGATGGTTGAGGATTCCCCGAGGCAGAGTGAGTGTTCTGCTGCATCCGTGATAACCCCGGAACGCTAGGATTGCGCAGAGGTGGCTGTGTGGATTCCGGTATAGTGCGAGGCGCGTCGAATGCTGGATCGTAAGGCGGGTTCACTTCGTGTGAGGCTTGGCCGTTGGGGGAATTGCCATGCGCAGAACCGCCATCGTGGAGAGCTTTGTCACCGTTTGAAGTGACGACGGCAGCGGCTGCCGCAAGATCCTTTTTCGAGGCTTTCCCGCGCTTCTTCCGCTCTCGCGCATACTCACAGCTGAGCCCGAATTCTAGAAGAATATGGAAATTAGATTTGAGAGCCTAAGGAGGCTGAAAGATTAAGGGGGTGAAGTGCCTACCAATGCAATGCGCGCAGGGTTGTTGCCCGTCGCATTTGGTGCGCAACTGGTTGCATTGATCGCAGGCACGGCTAATCCTCCGGCGCACCGCAGTGGCGGTTGAGTTCTTGCGGATGGCCGACCGAGCATCTATGAGGGGATCATGCGGCTGTGAAGAGGCTTTGACTCCGGGATGTCTGCCATTTTGTTCGCGATAGGCTTGAGGCTCTAAAGCCTCGGTTTCGATGACGGGTTTGCCCTCGCAATCAGCCGGGGGATTGGACGCGCTGGCTTGCCGCGCGAGCTGGAGTTGCTCGAGCGCATATTGGGAGCCTTCTGCGAGCGTGTCCAATCCGGGGGTTTGAGATTGGGCCATTCGATTAGGTTGCGATCGGGACGAGAAGGGAGAGTATGGATTGGCGAACGATTGGAGAGAGGTGGAGGTGGCCGACATGCTTCTCCTCGGGACTAAACTTGCAGCGGCATAGAGTCAAGCAGATCACACAGATCCGGGCATTCGCCCCTCGGCTGGACGTAAGAGGGAGAATTCGAGCTGTGCGATCGGCAGGATGGGTAGAGATTGCAGCAGCGTCAGGAGTCGGTCGACATCTCCAGGTTAGTGTCAGAAGAAAGGAAATACCCCAGACCGCGGTCGGTGGAGGTGGACCCTGGTTTATTTTTTTTCCCAGCCGGACCCGAGAGCCGGAAGCTTAACCGTTTCGCTGCCGTGTCAAGAATGAAGAATCCCGGAATGGAAAGGAGAGAGAGGGTCAAAGGTGACCGTCAAACAGAAGAATGCAGGGACCTGGGATGATCAAGGAGATTTGCAGGAGTCGGAGAATTGGAGGGGGGAAACCTGGAGAAGGCGGGGAAAAGGCACGTGGTGAAAAGCTCCGAATGCGTCGTCCGATGGGAGGCGAAAAGAAGTATACGGAGTATAGAGAGTACAGTACTAGGGGAAAGTCAGGAGACCGGCAAGGAATGATTCTACCAAGTAGGAAAAGATCGCAGCGTATATGAACACTATGTGCTGGAAACACGAATCGGTCACTAGTTCGTGTCCTCAAACCTCCCCCTGGCGGGGAGGGGAGTGTTGCAGTGCGGAGAACAGCCCTTTCGCTTACGGCCACGGAAGGCTTTACCGGCCCGATTGACGGATGGAACGTTGAGGTTTACAAAGTATACAAAATATACTCCACGATCTGCTCTACACGGTTGATGTCTCGACAAGATTCCGATCGTAGTCTATTCTAACTCTATCCAATGTGCGATATTCTCCGTAGACAAGAAGAAGCTCGTCTCGTTCCCAGCTCCCCTGAATCCTGCCCATGTCAGGTACCATGTCGAAAAGAATTTGCCACGGACTTTGCAATTAGCCATGAAACCACGTCCGGAGTTGGTCATTTCCTGCGCAGCGATCGGACAGGGATGAGGCGATTATATGCCGGGATTGCATTCGAACTCCGCACTACCGGCATCAGCAAATACATCGACCGTCCTTTCATCCTCCTAAAAGCCACGACCCAACCCCTAACATATTCATACTGGAAGCTCTGCGAAGGGCGACACGGACCCGGTGTGACCACGAGCGCAACGATTGTGGAACGATCTTGAACCGGGCGAGGGTCCTGCCCTGGGATCATCGCATGATCCACCGAGAAGGTCTAGAAAGACTTCTTGCCGAGCGAATCTGCAGGCTAGCCCAACTTCTGGTTGGGGTTACCAGTGAATTCAGCCGGGTTTTGCCTAAATGCCGGGTTCGGGCTCGGGGAGAAAGACGATTCTGGTGAGAGTCTGGGGTAAACCGGGTGTAGCGCATCCTTGCCGCTGCCAAGGGGGCCGATGTTTTCTTTCAAAGCAAGCCAATCAAATCAGACCATGGCTGGGAACAAGAAGGTCACCCAAAACCGTGTAATTCCTTGGAGGACTGAATCTCCACGGATGGACTGCTTGATTCGCCATGCAAATCATTGGATGTAACATGAAGGAGATAAGCCTGTGCCCCTCACTTCCGCGATAAAAGCGGAGTCCACCGAGGCAACGGCGGTTCTGCTTCTCTCCTCACAACAATCAGCGGCCAGAATGTCAGTCACAAAACAGAACGTCGAACAAATCATTAATGAAATCCCACTTCGCTACCGGGGTCCCGGTGGTGCGGTTGCGGTCATCAAGGATGGCGAAGTCGTCGGCCAACGCGTCTGGGGGTACGCCGATCAATCTCGTCGTATCCTCGTGGATCCATCCACTCAATTTCCGATATGCTCAATCACCAAGCAGTTCGTGTGCGGCTTGCTAATGGACCTTCACCGTAATCCGACCCCTCAGATGGCTGCCAAGGGCGACGTGCAGCGTCAATATACGGAGAAGCTGCATGAGTTACTCCCCTTGGCTCGGGAGAAGGGTCTGACACTTCAGAACCTCTGTGATATGCAGTCCGGCATTCGGGATTACTGGGCTATGACTACCCTATGGGGTGCGAAACCAGATGATGAATTCTTGATCGATAGAGATTGTCCCCCGATGCTGGACAGAACCAAGTCACTTCATTTCGAACCGGGTACGGAGTTTTCTTACTCGAATGTGAATTTCTACCTAGTGGGACGAATTATCGAGCGTGTCACTGGAGAACCGCTGGGAAAGCTACTTGAGGAGAGGATTCTCAAACCAGCGGGGATGACGAATGCGCTGCTCTGTCCGAATACTGCCCACCACCCTCCTCCCTGCGTCGGCTACGAAGGCAATGAAGACCATGGATTCTACGATGCAGTCAATCATATGGAATGGTCGGGCGACGCCGGAATGGTGGCTTCTCTGAATGATATGATTGCCTATGAGAAGTACCTCGACCGGCTGCATGCTGACCCTCAGAGCTGGTATCACACTGCGACGAAGCCACAGACCTTTAGCGATGGTACAACTGCGAGATATCACTACGGCCTGGGTCGTGTGGATATTAATGGCATTGACTCGATCGGTCACGGTGGTGCTCTACGGGGATATCGGCTACATCGGAGACATGTGCCCGAGGAGCATCTGTCCGTCGTGGTCCTATTCAACCATGAAGCCGATGCATCAGCAGCGGTTGATCATATACTTCGAGGCGTGTTGAATCGACCCAATCCCGAGAACGCACCAGTAGAGCCCGCCGTAGAATGGTATGGCGTTTTCCTCGACAAAGCCACTCAATTGGCCATCACGGTTGCCAAGAGCTCGAAATCAGGAGAAGTTTTAATCACATACAGCGCTCACTTGGAGGCTGCACCGCTCAAGCTGACTGACGCGAACACTGGCAAAGCACGTACAATGACTGGCTCCATTGTTGGGGACGTCCTTCGCATTCATCGCGTGTCGGATAACCGAAAGCTCGAGGCTAGGCGCCTCACTCCGCGTGAGGACGCTCTCAAGGATACGGGATTGGTTGGTGATTATCATTCTGAAGAGGTTGACTCTACCTTCCACTGCATTGGAGAAGCGGGAATGTTGTATGGCTTCTTTGACGGATATCTTGGACAAGGTCTCGTGACCTCGATGCGGTATCTTGGGGATGATGTCTGGGCCTTGAGCTGTCCGCGTGGTCTGGATGCACCGGCACCCGGTGACTGGACTGTGGTGATTCACCGCGATGAGAGTGGTTCGGTTGTGGGCTTCAGAATTGGCTGTTGGCTAGCTAGGGGAGTAGACTTTGTCAAAAGGCAGTAAGGCGTGTGTCCTGCTGGCATTAGCAAAAGTACAGGGGGCCAGATTAGGCCATTTTTGACCTCCTCACTTGAATAATATGTGTGAAACTCATGGATCGTGCCATGGCGGTCGCTTCACTGTACTTCATGAATACTTGGAACAAATTTAAATTGATTAGGGCTACAATGTTCCGGTCCTGACATGCATTTTTAGGTGTTTCGCCGGATTTTTCATATAGTATGGGGCGGTCTTGAAAATTGTCAGCCGAGGTGTTGGAGGACCCTGAACAATACCGTCATATCATAGACTTCATGTTCTCCATCATACCAGCGCGCATCGAACAGCTTCTATATTGGTCCAATTACCCCTATATCTTTTCACATGTTCCCTGCTTCGAGTGCGAGTGATGGCAATATTGAAGACTGAGGAGCCACACCTTGAAATTTACGCTTTATTGGATGAACTTGGGCATTATGGTCATCATGCTTGAGATGAAATCATGGGTAATCTTGTGTCATATGTTAAATTTACGTCCCTGCCTGGGCCTTAAGGCAAAACATAGCCACCATCGATGAGCACATCACTTCCCGTCATGTAAGTTGACGCATCGCTTGCAAGGTAGAGATACAATCCCTTGATCTCCTTGACATGTCCCTGTCTTCCCAGAGATGACATGCGGTAAGCCTCATTGAGGCAAAGGGGGCTGGCCCCCATCTTGGTATCGAAAAAACCGGGTGAAACGATGTTGACCCGAGCAAAGTCTCGCCACTCGCGAGCTAGAGACTTTCCAAAGTGAGTAACGAAAGATTTTGTGCCGTTGTATACAGGCTGATCAACGGGGACATTGACAATGTGAGCACTCATGCTCGATGTAATGATGAGGTTACCAAAGCCCTGGCGTTGGAAGACATGGCCGGCGTACTTGGCACAGTAAACGATTCCGTCAACTAGATATCTGTTAGGAAACGAGTCATGGTAATGATCCTGAATAGAGAGCCATACCGTTCACGGACATCTGGTTGTGATACTCGCTGAGAGTCTGCTCCAAGATAGGCTTAGAGATTGCCATCCCTGTAGAAATTAGTTGGCGCAGAGTAACACGGCTCTCATGGTACTCACCTGCATTGGCGACGAAAACATCGATCTTGCCAAAATCTTCGACAACCTTTTCCATGGCCTTAGAGACCTGGGTGGACTCGGATACTACGCCAAATAGTGAGTTCGAGGCAACTTTTGCTTCAAATATGCTCATCGGCTTACCGTCCACCTTGTAAGCAGCTGACTTGATCTTGTGCTGATCAGCCAGTTCATGAGACTTTTGAATCGCTGCTTCGTTCCTTCGGGTATGTTGGTGAGTATGCCAACGGTGTACGCCGGTCAAAATTGAATGACTTACGAGTTGTACCACAGGGCAACATTGGCACCGGCTTCCGCCATTGCCTGCGCTACCGCTAGGCCAATTCCATCTGCCGCACCGTTAACGACCACAACCTTGCCGTCCAGGCGAAATTGTTCCAGTACATTGGAAGGCGTATTAGGAAAAGGTCTTGGGAATCCGTCGCGTCCTGCAGCGCTATCCTCGATGGACATAGACATATTGCGGTGTATGTTTTTGATGATTGTTTTGATGAAAATTCAACAATGAAATACTCAAGCTAAGTGTTCGCTCGACTGACTTTATAACTGATAATGGAACAAAATGACCCACTCACACTCGGTATACTGTCCACCGAGGCGGTAAATTGAATGGGGTCACATTGATATCCTAGAAGGGACAACTCAAAGCTACACCGGCCCCTGCTTCTTTGCGTGACCCTCCTTGAGTGTCTGGGCTTTCATCTTACTTTGAATGTCAAAGTCAGAAAGAAACAGAAAGGGTGAAGATGCGTTAGGTCTCAATCTATTCGTCCCCAGCTTCAGTTTTAATCTACAAGATACCTAGATTGTATAACGACCATAAATTGATGGCCAAGTATCCGGACAAAAGCGGCTATTTCCATCCAACCCCGCCATCGGGAATTAACCGAGGCGACTCCGGGGTGAGTTTGCTCTTGCCCAACCCAATCCGACCCACACTCAGCGGCGTTTTGTGATCCGACACCTTCAAAGTTGCGCTAGCACTATTACTGGTTGCTCCCCGCCTCCGCTAAGGCTTCCCCTGGTGACGGCATGAGTGGACCTTGACTGAAGCATGTTGCGAAAGCCATAGCCATTAGCTAAAAGTGTTTCACAGCTCACGTTTGTGTTTGCACGTTTCCGACCGACATTATTGAGCATCGGACAGTAAATTTCCGAACGTGCATGAGTGACATTTGACCTTATTCGTCGAAACTGGCCGCACCGCATCTAGGCTTTACTGGATTTCCTGCATCGAACTGTTGAAAGTACGGATTCGATCGCTCTCCAGCATTTCAGGGCCTTTATACGCTGTTCTACTTTATTCATACTTCCTTCACACCTATACAACAGCTGTGATATAAATTTGTCTCGTTCTCGATATGACCTCCTCAAATGGTCTGACCGACCGCGACGCCCTCACCGCAAGGTCTATTCCATCCATGATCCTCAGCGATGGCAGCCCCGCTTCGATGACCCCGCCCCCAGCTTCAACATTCGAGGCCGACCCTGCCGTTAGTGCCCAGAAAAGATTCTCTGTTCGAGGAAACGCTGTTGTCACTGGAGGTTCCGGGACGCTAGGTCTTCACTCTTGTGAAGCTCTCCTTGAACATGGCCTTCAGGGCCTCATGATATTCGATGTCAATCTCGCTAGCAGCGAAAAGGAAATTACAAGATTAAGGTCGAAGTTTCCCAGCGCTAAGGTTTGCACTCAACAAGTTGATGTCACCGCCGAAGATGAAGTCCGCGTCGCAATGGAGGAAACCGTCCGTCTACTTGGCTCGGTTGATATCCTTGTTTGCTTTGTCGGGGTCGTCGGTTGTATCGAAACCCTTGAAATGCCCGTCTCTCAATGGCGAAAGATCCTCGACATCAATACTACTGGATCGTTTATCTGTGCTCAGGCAGCTGCACGAGAGATGGTCAAGCAAGGAACTGGAGGCTCAATCACCTTTGTGGCATCAGTTTCTGCCCATCGCGTGAATTACCCACAGCCTCAGGTGGCATACAATGTTAGCAAAGCTGCGCTTTTGATGCTCAAAAGCTCCCTTGCTGCAGAGTGGGCTCGTTACGGTATAAGAACCAACAGTGTGAGCCCGGGATACATGGATACAATCTTGAATGAGGGCAAGGGACTAGATGCCCACCGGCGGCTCTGGGCTGAGCGTAACCCAAGCGGGCGAATGGGAAGCCCATCTGAGCTAACAGGAGCAATTGTGCTTCTTGCTAGCTCTGCCGGGACTTACATGAATGGGACAGACATTCTTATCGATGGAGGTTTAAGTGTGTTTTAGTGCTTAGATCACGTTGTTTAAAATTTTTGATAATAGCGAAATTCCATCAACGAGCTCAGAATAGTATTTTCGGGGCCTTGCTTCCTTTGTGGAATCCCAAGGTTACTCATGGACGAAGTGATAAAAAGAATCACCGCCTATCTGAGTGATTAGGATTCCCGCATGTTGGCATCGGATCGGACGACTGCGGTCCCTTGATCTCATCCACCAGGAACCACCAGGAAGAATGCCGCCCCACGAAGATACCGACTAGATCATCGTCTACCTTATCTCCGATCTTTAAGACACGCAATCAGAATAAGTGTTATCTGACCTTACATGCTGCGCTGAGGAATTAAGATCGATGGTCTTTTATCGAGAGCTTCCCACGGCAGGGTTGAAAGACACACTCTCTAATGAGCGGCGAAGAGTCGTTAGAGCCCGTGACTGTTTGGCATCATTCAGCTAAAAAGATAATCAGCTAAAAAGATAATCAGCTAAAAAGATAAAGCTCCAGCGCAGTGCCTGACTGTTATCAAAATGGCACTCGATCGAAATCAACAACAAGGGCAACCCTCAGGATACCTGACGATAATCGGTCTCATAATCAAGTAATCCCATACAACAAGATAATGGGATGCCATCAGCATCAATACTATAGATCCTACACTTCAAATTTTCTTTGAAATTCCTCATGGGGCAACGATTCATTCCACGGAAAGTGGGGGTTTCCAAGCCGAGGTGAGGTTGGAGCATTTGATTATGTTCCATCAGACACATGTCAGCATGCAATCTTACCCGGAAGATATCTGACCCTCCCTCTTTACTCTTCTGTCTCTGCATAATTAGCCCTCAGCTCTTGGTACCGGTGAAATCTCCGTAACATTGCCAGTAAACCCAGCGGATCCACGCGAACTGCGACCCCGCACAGAGTTGTGGGGCTGAACTATTTCCCGCTCATTACTTCTTCGAATCGAGTCTCTTGTTGCGCGCAAAACCTCATCGTGCACAGCTTCTAATCAGCTGAAAACTCATGAACTCGGACTGGTCTTACATGGCGGGACATCTGTCATCTTTCCATCATTTTTGCATCAGTAGCGTGTGCCTCAGATACAATTCCATCATACAAGATGCCATGGAAAGCTACCATGAGACTTGGAAAGTCGGACCGTGCATGCTAATGGCCCAGTCATAATGCCTAAGAGCTAAATGGCTGCATACACTACAGTATTGACGAGCTGTGCAACGATGGCCGCCTGAGGCCTCCATCGCATGCTGTCATTGGCTTGCCACCAACCGAAAATAGATTATATCTGCAGTCTTATCACACATGTATGGTCCAAGTGCCAAACAATAGCCAGCGCATATCTGTATGGGAGGGTCGCTAGTGCGGGGAGGCCCAGAACAGCTGGATTAGCTTGGATTGGTCTTTATCTGCGGTCTCCGCATCATTGACTCACATTCATAAAATCCTTCATTGTAATGACAGGACCTTCTTGATACATTGGAAAGAGGTCAAGATGAATCAAACGTTGCTCTCGAGCTTCATTTCGGACGATATTCATATCGCGGCAACCTTTGGTACCCTGGGTATCCTATCCCACCTGTTGATACTCACCAGCGAGATTGACGACGCCGTCGGTAGCTTACTTATTGGGTTTTTTCTTACCTGTGCGGGCCTAGCTACATCTTTTGCGAAAGTTTTAGGTGTCGATGTTATCGTAGCGATCGCAAAATCCGCGTTCGCTTGCCTTTTGTTTTTAGTGGGTCTGGGGGCCAGCACCGTGGTCTATCGGCTATTCTTCCATCGCTTGCGACATTTCCCCGGCCGATGGGGCGCAAAGATCAGCCGGTTCTATACAGTTTGCCTTATTAAATCCTCCGATTTCAAATATCACCATGAGTTGGAGAGGTTACATGCCGAGTTTGGCGATTTTGTTAGAACAGGTTCATCACTCGGATATATCTCCTCTTGGGGATCGAATTGGAACTGATCTCTTAGATAGGACCTCGTGAAATTTCTGTCAATCGTGCTTCAGCAGCGCGTATTATTCATGGTCCGCAATCCAAGTGTTTAAAAAGCCCATGGTATAGCCAGATTACCGGCAATCCCGACAAAGTTAACTTGCTAGGTTTGAGAGATCATGGGATACACCGGGGACGTCGGAGAGCATGGGACAGAGGTCTCGGGCCAAAAGGTTGCGTGAAGTCAAAGTCTACTCTCGTTTCAGTCAAGACGCTAATTTTGTATGTGTAGCACTCTCCAGCTATCAACCCCAGATTCAGAAAAAGGTCAACACCTTGATCAAACAACTCAAAGACAGACAAGACAAAGATGTCGAAGTCACCCAATGGACTCAATATTACTCTTTCGATGTCATGGGAGAGATCACGTTCAAGAAGGACTTTAGACAGCTTGAAGAAGGTGCTGAGCATTATGCAATTACTGCCATGCACGCTCAGCTAGAACAGGTTGGTGTCCTCGGTGCAGTTCCATGGTTGCTACATTTGCTCGTCCGTATCCCTGGTCTCGCTGGCCCGTACGCGATCTTCAACAAATACTGCATTTCACAGATAGAGCAACGAAAAGCGGTATGTATGAAAGACACAAATACTAAGGAAACATACTTGGCCACTAACTAACAATGACCAGGAATGGCACCAGGATGCAGAAAAAAGACCGACTGATGTCATCTCCTGGCTATTAAAAGCAAAAGATGACGGTGAAGCTGGTGCCTCAACTACCGATTTATCTCTATATGATGAAGGCAGACTTGCAATTACTGCTGGAAGGTACGTTGAATGGCTTTCTTTCATCTGCATCAACATCAACATGCTCACCACTAAAATAGTGACACCACTGCCACAACGATTGCGAACGTCTTGTACTATCTTGCTACTCATCCAGTGGTCTATAAAAGATTGCAACAGGAGGTTGATGAAGCAGATGGTACCCAAGATATTGCCCAACCCCTTCCGTACCTCGAGGCGGTCGTTAACGAAACCCTCCGCTTGAAACCAGTTGTACCTAGTGGTCAATGGAGGGTCACACCTCCAGAGGGTCTCTTCATTGATGAGGTTTGGATTCCGGGAAACACCATCGTGGTTGTTCCTCAGTATCTACTACAACGCGATGCACGCAACTTTTCTCGTCCATTGGAGTTCATCCCGGAACGATGGCTCGAGAAAGACCAAGGCCTGGTTTTCGATGACAAGGCTTTCTTCCCTTTCACTATAGGTAAGAGGTCATGTTCCGCGAGTTTTCGTCATTGCCAATACTTACCTCTCTACTCAAGGTCACTATTCGTGTGCAGGCAAGCAACTGGCATATCTGTCAATGCGCATCGCTCTCCGGTCTATTGCAAGGGAGTTTGATATCTCGTTGGCACCGGGGGAGGATGGGAAGTTTTTCGATGAAAATGCCAAGGACACTTTTACCTTGGCATTACAACCTCTCCATTTGGTTTTCAGCGGGCGGAAGGGCTAAATCCCTAGATTTGTCACTTGTGCCGGTCCTCGGCCTGTTTTTAATGAACTGGTACTGAGCTGAGCCTCGGCTGGTGGGCATTGTCTTACAAGGATGCTAAGTCATAGATTAATCAAGCTTATGGAGATTGACTTTGAAGTAATGCAATAAATACTGAGGTACCCGTCCCGTTTACAAGGGTGCTTTAAATCAAAGCTAGCAAGGCCGGGCATGAATTCGTAGGTCATAACCAAACTTTGTAAAAGAGACGATGACACGAGACACCGTGAAAATGCGATCTCAAGCGATCTATTGGAGCAAACATTTCCCAAAAATGCGAACTACAGAAACTCGCTACCTCCGTGAATTGAACCCTCAACCTCTCATTCCCTATGTACGTCTTCACGATGCTGCATTTCCATCTCATGATACCGAAATACAAAACTTTGAGGCTGGCACGGTGTCAACCCGATATCACAGCTAATGGATACTCCTGCCTACACTCCCCTAATACTCTGAATTCTTAAATGAAATAGATCTTCTTATAAGATGTCTGTTCAATAAGAAAGGAAACTAAAAAGAAGAAGTACCGCTAGTGAGGTGAACCACCTCGCTCGCATCCGCCCGCCCACTCTCCCCGCCTAGGGATGTGCCCGGTAACCCGTGGTGATCATGCTCGACACGGGAGACCGGTACTGTGATTTCCCCTCATGGGGCACATCCAAATGGTCCAACCACTGAAGGTATGTCCAACTAGGCCATGCGAGGGGGGAAAGTACCTGGAAGAACTGGAAGTTGGTGATAAGCCTCATTTGATGCTTAGTCTCGTACTTAATACATAAACACCCTGAGCCACTACCGACTAACCATCCAGTACGCGAGCTTGGGGCAACGAAAACAGGTGCAGCTGATCTAATTCATCGCTAGCTTTGGAGGGACTCCAGAGATTCCGCGATCATACTAATGGTCTCCTCAGGCTGACTCAAAAAAGGGCTGTGACCAGTATCCAAGGACCGCATTGTGATAGATGCACCTGCGCTTTTTGCAGCGTCAACCATCGCCTCTTGGATCTGGAGAGGGATCGCGCCATCCTTCAGACAAAAAATAAACGTGACTGGCACATCAGCCCAGCCCGGGTAGGCATTGACTGAGTCCTTCAATGTGGCACTTGAATGTTTCAGCAGACGACCCTTCCAGTAACGGGCATCTTCTGGGGACAGGTCGTTGTAGAACAAGGCCTCCGGGTCCTGAATGATATCTTCCCAGCCGTCCGGGCCGCTACGGTGAAATAATTTTGCAGGATCGACCACGTCATACACAGATAAACCCGATTGCGGCATGAAGGCGCAAAGCTGGATGATTCCGATGACTCTGCCCGAATTTGGTGTCAATCGCGATGGGTCTTTCTGAGTAAACCCTTTCACGGAGGAGCAGCCCGCGAAGCCACCGAAAGAATGGTTGATCAATACAACATCATTGCCCAGGCTAGTTTCTTCGGTAATGAGTGTCTGGATCTGACGAATGGTGCTTTCCAGGGAGTCAACGGGCTGCTCTGTGCCGCAGAAATCCAATTGCGGGGCGAAGCAGCGATATCCTTGCTGCTTGAAGGCAGGAATCACCTTGGACCAGCACTCTGGGCTGTGCCAAGCTCCATGGAGAAAGATCAGTGAAGGCATTTGATTGTAGGAATCGTTGGTTTTCTGCTGATTGAAGACAAAGTGTTTTTGTTTGGAGGAATCCAGACGGGATGAAACAGAGTTTCCTCGGGTTAATAGGAAGGGCGGTAAATAAGGCTGCCCAAGTCCTGGAACTGCGGCACTGCACGGCTTCAGGAAAGATTTGACTTTGACAGCCTTGCGCTTGTAAAGACCCCTGCTTACTGCCTTTCAGCTCCCGAATTTACCCCCACGCTCCGTACTCGGTGCTGTTTACGGAGACAGAGCTATTTATGGAAGATAAGTGGATCAATCACCTACAAGATGGTCTTAAAATTGCTAAGAATACATGCGTCGAAAGAAATAGCTATGAGAGAGATTTGTGAAACCATATATAAAGTTTGCTTAGTTGTTTAACGTAAAGAATCTTGCTCCACCCATTGTCCGTCGATAGTTGGAAGCCAACCGGACCACCAACAGCCCCCAAATACCTACACACGTATCTTCAAGGAAGAAACGGCACCTTGGCCTGCTCCACTAAGAATCTGGAGAGAAAATTGAGGTGAACCTGAGGAACAATGACGATCGTAATGGAGCGAAATTTGTGTTCGTTGGAGGATGCGAATCCGTGACACCGAAACTGTGAAGGTAAGCTATTCAGCCCTAAACCCATCACCCAATCAGCGCATTGAAGGTGCTAAGATTGGTCGATGGGGTCTGCACTTGGGCATCATCTTGGCTAATTAATGAAGAAGGGGCCATGCTGCTCCGATCCAGCTACTGCACAGCTATCGAGCTGAGCTAAGCATAGCACGGCTGAGACCATTGCGACCTCCGCATTTCGGGGTGACGACCTGCAAAGATTTATCCAATCTGGAAACAACGATCTATCTGCGTTCGCGGTACGCATCAGCCAATTGCGGTCAATTTGACCCGTTATTGTCTCGCGATTTTGCTGGCTGGATGATACAGTACGGGTGGTCCGGTGACCCGTGGGAATCATTAGTTATCTGCTGCCATAGAGCGTGCAGCAGATTTTGGAGTGGCCAAGGCAGACTCCACTTGGGAAACGTGCATGAGACATTGAGCGGCATGGCTTTCAAGACATCCAAGACTTCCAAGACAGGAAGTATGTTGGGCCCTGCTGTGGCTTCGAATGAGGCGGTGACACAAAGGCGGTGAGGATGGCTTTTCTTTTTTCTGCCACTCCCCGCTTATCACGCCCGCTGATATACGGATGAGCTATCGCGAGAGAAAAAAAACCGAACTGAAGGTGCTCGGTAACACACTGACAATCTCCGACGATCCTGTCAATTCTCGGATTACTCTTCACCCTTACACATCACCCCATACATTCATCCACCCATCATGGCCTCCATCGAGGATGATCCGGTCATCGCCTCCTACGACGTTTTCCTCACTGACTCCGAGGTCTCTCGATACGTCTTTCAATACCTCGACCGCCCACAATCCAAGCCATACAATGACAGAAAGGGTCAAAAACCGACCGCCATGCGCATGAAACCTGGCTCGGGTCTAGTAGAGCTTGAAGTGCCTATCTTTACGCGATGCACCTATGATGTGGAGAAGGGAATCCGATACGGCGACGCCATGAAGAAGGGCCGCTTTGCGCGTAATGGTGGAGCTTACGGCATGGCTGGTGGCTTCAGCACCGGGGGAATCCCTGGCGGCGGAGGTCGGATCAAGGCAGAGGGCAATGAAGACATTGAAGTGCTGGATAACAAGAAGACTATGGACCCATCTGCGCTGCTTAGGACACAGGCACTCGGTGGGCGTATCAAACCTGCAGAGGAAGGTGATCCAGTCTATATGCTGGCTACATTCAAAGGAAGTACGTTTATTCTTCGGTCTCTCTGCTAAAGCAGCCGTATCTCTCTCCCGTTGACGTCTCTAACATGACATTCAGAAAATCTCCATCTTTCACCCGTCACCGCCGTGGTTCAATTACAGCCCCAGGTTCATCATTTGGACGCGATGGATGAAATGCCCAAGGGGAGAGGTGCGAAGGGCAAGAAGGAAGATGAAGAACGTCCTGCCGAGCCCGAGGCACGCGCTATCGACGTGAAGGTCAAGGGCGCAGAAGACGGGGGCGCTATACTTCACGGCAACTTGGATCTACTCAAGAAAATGCAAGAAGAACAGTGGAAGAATTTCGAATGGATCGATGCAGAGGTAAGCGTTCGGCCTTGCTGTGGACCCTCGGTTTCCCCGTTGCAACAATGAACATGATCTAACACGAAAATCTTTCTAGACCGAGGATTCATGGTACACTTATGAGAATTACATGATGAGCCAGAAGCCTGATGATCTTCCCCAATTGAAGGCTACCATTAACAGCGAGGACTATTTGGATGGCATGAGTGCTCCACGGATTGATCCTGCCCGGCCTGAATTGACTGGATGGGCCATGAAACAAAATCGACAAAAGCAGATGGAAGGGCCATCAGATAGCGAGGATGAAAGCTGAATCAGATCGCATCATGATTGAGCATATTGTTAAAATTGGCGTTCATAAGACTAGAGGTTCATTTCTTGGCCTACGGGTTCCTTGTACTATTGATAGCGAATGGGCACACTGCCGATCAGAGCAGAATCATGTTCAACGTCCTCCGTCTTTGTATCTCTTGCAGTAGGCCCGGATATTGGTAGATCTTTCTTTCTTCCAATCTATAGACGATGGGTCCTAATGAAAACTAGGCTACTCGTGGTATGGGCATCGCCACCGTGTAGTTCCCGCCACCAATCAGCAAGAGCTTATCAGGGGCAGTCACGTGCAGTCACGCGTTCCGCGACGCTTTTTTTCGCCGAGTCTCCGGCAGCTCTCGTGCTCAACATCCCTATTCATCCTCATCCCATTCCTTTCTTTATTCCAAGTCGTTTTCCGCTCGGGTTGAGGGCTGCAGGACGGCATTCTGAATACATCCAGCAGAGTCCTGATAAGCCTAGAGATTACTCTGTCTCTCTTTGCTGTCTCGCGCTTTTCTGCTTTTCACCTGCATTATTTGCGTTCTTCACCTTTTTTCCACCATTTTGCCTCAATATTTCTCTCTTAATCATTTCTATCGTTTGCTAGCATCGGCCTCTTTACTCCTTTAATCCTTGATTTTTTTTAAAGCGACATCTCCTGCATCATGTTATCCCGAGTCGCTCGTCAAAAAAATGCGCTCTTCCACCTGCGGAAGGCGAATGCCATCCGCACGCTGGGCGTCTCTCCAGCAGTGCGCCTACACTCGAATTCAAGCCGCCCAACTCCTATCGTGAATTCGCAAAGCACCTCGACACAAGACCGGCCCCGAAGACCATCCTTTCAATCGCACCGCAATCTCGCTACCGCTGCCGACCCCTCCGTACTCGAACAGGGATCCTCCTACATGCAAGACGCCTCTCCATATCATCCGGGCATCACTAGCCCACCGCCCTTCCAAATGTCCGATTCCTTTGACACTTCATCTTTAATCGTCCTGAATGAAACTCCCCAAACTCAGCCTAAAATTCTGCGGAAGATTCGGGGAATCGGTGGTGACGAGGATGAGATGATGGCGAACTTTGACATGTCACTCCGGGTGGGTCGATTCGATCGTGCGGCAGCTTTGATCAGTCGATTGAAGGCATACTACCCTGTTGATTCTGTCGAGTTTCTGGCTTTGCACAATAAATATCTGAAGGCAATGGTCTCGCACATGATTGTCACTCGGCAGAACGAGATGGTTTTGCCATTGCAGAAATGGTTTGAAGTTGACATGCCATCGGGCGGTGTGAGGCCAGATGCCACTACCTTTGCGGTCATGGTTCGCATGTCTCTTCGGATGCTACACGGCTCTAAGCGGGAGAGATCGGTCCGCCGGTACTGGGGCCTTGCCAAGCAGGCAGACCTTCATGAAGATCTGCTGGCTAGCGAGGTACTTACGGATTTGGATCTTGGTGAATTGTCCAAGGTTAGTATTGCCGACGCTTTTGTTGTCTCTTGCTTCTTGACAGTGTCGCTGATTATATCATCTCAATTAGATCTGTTACTCTGATTTACTCACGCCTATGGTCGATCCCGCCGAAATCGATGAGGAATTCTCCGCGCAATCCACTAACATCGTCGATAACCTACCCGAAGTACTTGCCGCGGAGCAGAAAGGCTTAGGTTTAAGTTCTTTGAAAGAATCTCTGTCCTTATTTTCCGAGGGTACACAGATTGCCCTGCCCGAGGGTTTCAAGGGCACGGAAGAGGAGAAGAGGGAACTATATGCTCAGCTTCGACAACAGCGACTCGAATCTGACACAATGAGGACGGCTTCTAAGCGGTGGCGTGCCGAGTTCGAAGGCAGAGTAAAATCTGGCGTGGACTTGGCTTCGGGCAAATCCAGGCTCAAGTCCGTCATGAGCCAGTGGCATACGGACCTTTCAGATGCCATCAAGAAAGAGATCAAGCTTGCCGAGGAAGCTGAGACCCAGCCAATGCGCACCGAGGAACAGAAAGCTCGTTGTGAATATGGCGTTTACTTGCAGTCTCTGGACTCGGACCGGTTGGCTGCGGTCACAGTCCTCTCCGTTATGGATGTTTTCACCCGGCACGGAATGCAAAAGGGGACCAAAGTCTCGACTGTCGCAGCATCCATCGGAAAAGGTGTCCAGGACGAACTGATCGCCGAAGCTTACCTGAAGGAAAACACGACCCCCGACTCCCGCCGCGTTAAAATGGTGAAGGATATGCTTGCTGGTCGAAGGAGCAAGGATGGCCGCCCGCAGTGGACGGCTGTGTCTGAGAACATGAAGAAGGAACATGAAGAATATGCATGGACTCCTCGTGTCACTGTTAGGATCGGAGCTGTTCTGATGGGCCTGTTGTTTGATGTTGCCAAAGCTCCTGTCAAGGCTACGGATCCCCAAACCGGTAACGTTACGACGATCATGCACCCGGCTTTCTTGCATGCCTACGAAATGAACTTCGGAAAGCGATTGGGACTCTTCCATATGAACCCTGAAATTATCGACATTATCAGCAGAGAACCACCCGCAGATCTCCTCGGCCGTCACCTTCCTATGATTTGCAAGCCGCAGTCTTGGACGGGAGCAAAGAAGGGAGGATATCGTCTTTACCAAAGCAACATCGTTCGCTCCACACCTGGCGAGACTTTGCAGCCAGCCTACGTGAAAGCAGCTTTGGAGAAGGATGGTCTCAAGGACATTCGTAAGGGACTCGACGTGCTTGGAAACACTGGCTGGGTCATCAACCACGACGTGTTTGAAGTAATGCTTGAGGCCTGGAACTCTGGAGAAGGTATCGCAAGCCTGGCACCACTCGATCCGGATCTTACCATTCCGCCAAAGCCAGAACCCGACGCGGGCTTCGCCGCCGAGAGAGACTGGCAACTACAAATGCGCGATATCGAGAACCTTCGGTCCGGATACCACTCAATGCGATGCTTCCAGAATTTCCAGTTGGAAGTCGCCCGTGCGTTCCGCAACGAGGTTTTCTATCTTCCTCACAATATTGACTTCCGTGGTCGAGCTTACCCGCTTCCACCATATCTGAATCAAATGGGTGCCGACAATGCTCGCGGATTGCTCCTCTTCAGCGAGGCCAAGCCGCTGGGTGCAGGTGGATTGCGCTGGTTGAAGATTCAAATTGCCAACTTGGCTGGCTTCGACAAGGCTAGCATGTCAGAGCGTGAACAATTCGCAATGGATCACCTCGAAGATGTTCTGGACTCTGCGAACAAGGGACTTCATGGCAAGCGGTGGTGGCTGAAGGCCGAAGACCCATGGCAATGTCTAGCTGCCTGCTGTGAACTTCGGAATGCCCTAGCCCTCCCCGACCCTACCACGTATGCCTCTCGACTCCCGATTCACCAGGACGGTTCTTGCAACGGACTTCAGCATTATGCTGCCCTTGGAGGTGACACTGTTGGTGCCCAGCAAGTCAATCTGGAGCCATCTGACCGACCTTCCGACGTGTACACCGGTGTTTCCGATTTCGTGAAGAAGTCCGTGGCGAAGGACGCTGCTGAGGGCCACAAGGTTGCACAAGTCTTGGACGGAAGGATCACTCGAAAGGTTGTTAAGCAGACCGTTATGACCAACGTCTATGGTGTGACATTCATGGGAGCTATGCGACAAGTGCGCCGCCAGCTCAACGACCATTTCCCCGATCTTTCCAACGAGATGAAGAAGGACGGCGCGCTCTACATTGCGCGAAAGATTTTCGAGGCCCTGGGTTCCATGTTCAACGGTGCCCACGAGATTCAATACTGGCTCGGCGATTGCGCCACCCGCATCACTCAATCTTTGACGCCTGAGCAGATCGAGACGATGGCAAACGACGCCTTGTCGCCCTCCCGGCCTTCCGAAAGGGGTACCAGCACCAAGTTTGACCCGTCCAAGAAGTTCCAGTCAACCGTCATCTGGACTACCCCTCTAGGCCTGCCCGTGGTTCAGCCATACCGCACCCGCAAGGCCCGTCGTGTTGTGACCTCACTCCAGACCGTCAGCATTGTGGATCCTAGCGCCGAGGACGTGGTCTCCCGTCGAAAACAACTCCAGGCTTTCCCCCCTAACTTCATTCACTCCCTGGATGCCACTCACATGATCATGTCTGCCAATGCCTGTAACGATGCCGGCCTTACCTTCTCTGCTGTGCACGATTCTTTCTGGACCCACGCCGGTGATGTCGACTCCATGAACAGCATCCTCCGCGATGCATTCGTGCACATGCACTCCGATGACATTGTCGGACGCCTTGCCGCAGAGTTCAACGTCCGTTACGGCAAGAACTTGTTCCTTGCCAAGGTTGACTCCAACAGCGAAATTGGTCGCACTCTGCGGAAACGCCGCCAGCCCAACTTGCGCAACGCAAGGCTTGTTGAGCTGATTGATGAGCATCGTCGACAGACTTTGCTACGCTCGGACGACCCTGCCGATCAGGCTGAAGGCCGCGCTATGGAAACCTCCGCTGCTATCTTTGAAAAGATGGGTGGCACGGACGATCACTTGGCCCTGGCTAGCACCCTCGGTGAAACCACCGTTGGCCACGTCCCCGACGATCTGGCCGCTGCTGAGCGGGGGCCTTCCTCCAACGTCGATACTAGTGACCCGGCCATTCAAAGCTTGTTCACCGAGATCGACATGATGGATGCTCAGTCCTCCAGTGCGGACGCTGAGACAGACGGCGCCATGGCGGCCGAGGGAGGTGCTGGGGAAGAAAAGCAGGCGACCAAGCAAAAGAAGAGGCAAAAGCCACACACTTGGCTCTGGCTGCCTCTTCGCTTCCGGCCCGTTCCTACGAAGGGCTCGTGGGATCTGAGCCGGATTCGTGACAGCCAGTACTTCTTCTCTTGAAGACAATTTTGTTTCCCCGTGGAGTTTTGTCGATCATCGGTGACGCATTTCCAAGGATTGGCGTTCTATTACACTGTATTTTTTTTATCTCGGTGTCTTTACCCCGATTGTATATTAAACTTTGTTTCTCCTCTTACCTAGGAATGCCTGACAGCATGTCCTATATGTTTTATTACGTTGATGATCTGAGCATTGGCGCAGCGAAAGAAAAGCACATACAATATCATGCATAATATTTTCATTCTGATCTACGCGCAAGTATAATCTATGGACTAGAAAAGTTTGGTC